GTAGGCAGGAGAGAGTGCGGTAGATGCCACGCAAGTTTTATATCGCTCTCAACTGATTCACGTGCACTTCGTCGTCCCTACACCCACTCTGATGTGGTGCGCGCGGTAAGCATTGACAACGACGACCAAACCGTTGTAAGCTACACAAATTCAGTGATTTTCGTCCAATATCTTCAGAATTATCAAGAAGACCATGTCGAACTTCCTCTGTCTGCCTTGAACAGCTTTTCGCTTAATTCAACAGCCTATTTGTTGGCCTTCTGTAGCTCTCAGGAAGTCAGACCCACCTTTTTGGTCGTCCGAAGAACTTGTACTGAGGTTTTTTGTGTGTTCGAGAGTTCTCTACGAAACCCGTTTTTTGGGTTTCCAACCAGGTTTTGACGATTGCTCGGCCGTTGGCTTCGTTAGCTGTCTCAGTCTCCTTTTTTTATCGCGGATTAGTCCCGTCCCCCCTTTTTTTTCAGTAGCATAACATTTTTGTGCCACCACATGAGTGTTGACCCGACTAAACCTTTGCTATCCTAGGCAGACAGGCTCCGTGACGAGGTCGTTAGTCTGGAAGAGCGTAAAAATTCGCTAGAATTGCAGGTTATTTCGGACCCAGACAAGCTTCCTGAACTCGTGGAGAATCTTCTGAATACCGTGAACGACTCTGAACGCCGGATAACTGAGCTCTTCGCCAACCGCATACAAATAACCCAATCAATAACAAAATACCGCAAGGTGACTTGTATGCTCGACGAAGATATGGATGGCGACGTGACTGCCTTCTTCAACGCCATTGAGAAGACTGCCGACTTGCAGTCGGAATTAGAGGTTAGTGGCACATCTTCTGCGTACGTGCACACGTCCATGCTTTTTTATGTATCTTGTGTAGTGGGGAAGGGCACATACACGGGCTAGTTTTAATTTATAATTCTATGTCGTCATAATCACTCAAATACGGCAGTGGATAAAATGCTTTCCATTTGTGCTTAAAACCACTTATCCCAGTTTTGGCGTATGCATTTTTGCTCTCATAAAACAGCTGGACGTCGTCTTGACATTGGCTAGGTGCTTGATCAGCCTTCGTATTCTTTGCTCATTTAACCACCTGGAACTCAGACCCCATCATCTGCACAATTTATCTGTCACTTCCTCGCATCCGTCTGGGGTTGGGCTTACTCCCTTCATTCTTCCTTTTAGGTCCTGAAGAAGACTCTGGCTGACCTCACCGAGGATCAGAAGAATGAAAGCAAACTACTGACAGAGTTAACTGATGCCGTGAACCTCCTAGAGAGCTCATTTGTCAGCCAAAAGTTCCACCTTTCCAATCATGACGAGGTATGCCTTTATTGCTATTAAGGAGCACCAGTTGCTTTTCGCTGGTGGCACCACATGCTTTGGACTTTTTTTCTCTCTGTGTGCGCTAGCATGTTTGCACATCTGTGCTTCAAGTTCCCCAAATTGTCGGTGCTGATGCCGAGGCCAAGCAGGTGTTCGATATGCATAAGGTAGAGCCTTCATCCCATGTATGTCACTGCAACCGATCTCACCTCCAGCTGCACAGTCGGGGACGGTGGGCGGAGAGGAGTAAGACCTATCCAGTGCTCAGTTTTCTCGCAATAAATCTGACGCGCTTGAGCCTCTCGTCTAAAATTTGGGATCTTGAAGATTGTCAACTGACGGGAGAGCTCGGCCCTCTCCTTATCTGAGCCGAGTTACGGTGAATCTGTTTTACTGTGACGTTTGATGTTGATTTACGTGAGATCCGAGACCCTCCCCCCGTAAATGGAGCGTGGTACTGTGAATTTAGGGACAAAGTCGTCTTGATCGTTTCTTGCGAATAAAAAGGTGGTGATAATGTGAAGTATATGCATCGCAAGTCGCCGCCGGACCCATCCCTTAGGCAGTGGCGGGACTCACCTTTCGTAAAGGTCCAGTTGTTGCAGGAGTTCTATGAGCTAAAGGATTTGTTTTGCTTTTCTGGCTGTTTATTGTGG